GGAGGACTGCAGTGGAGGACTAGGGACATACTGCAGTGGAGGAGGACTGAGCGGGGGACTGCAGTAGAGGGTGGCGAGTGGGGTAGACAGGGCCCACACCTCCTGTCAGGACCCTGGGTCCCCCCAGGAAGTGGGCAGGGATGCCAAGGGGGTTTAAAGGGGAGAGTAGGGTCCTGGGTGCAGCCATCCCTGAGCTGCCTGCCTGGACATGGCCCATGCTTTCCCGGGAACCAGGTGAGCAGCTCCACCTGCCCCACATGCCCTCCCTGGGAAGGCGGATCCTGGTGGGGCTCCTGGTGCCAGCTCACCTGCCAGCCAAAGCCACAGGTCTCTGGTAGAGTGGGTCTGACCTTGACAGCCACCACCCACCTCCAGGTCCACCCTGTTCAAATTCCTCCTCCGAAGGTGGCACCCACAGCGGCATGGCTCCTGGCCACCCCAGCAGCAGTCTCTGCCAGAGGGGATGGGGGAGGATCCTGGCCGGGGGGGTGATGCAGACATCACCTCCTCCACTGGGCTTCCCACCTGTCACCGAAGGCCTCCAGACACAGGCGATCCCCGGCACTCACCTCCTCCAAGAAACCCGTCCTGAGACCCCTCCCCAACTCTAGGATGGCTGCTGGGGACACCTCAGGCCACTAACTGCCCCGTCGGCAGTCCTGAGGGCCAGGCCCCAGGATTCCTGCCTGAGAGTACAGCCTGGAAGCTAGAAGCCTGGATCTCCCTCAAGGGGTTCGGGCTCACCTCCTCCTGAACCCTGTCCTGTGCACAGGGCAGCAGCCCCACCTCAGCCTGCCCAACACATGGGCTCCACGGTGCCAGAGGGAGCTGCTGCTGTCTTGGAGAAAGGAAGCACTGAGGCCTGGGGCCGGGCTCAGCCCCTCCCTGGCAACATGAGACCTCCCGAGGGGACGGGGTCCACAAGGGGCATAAAGGAGGGAGCTACTGCCCCTGTCCCCTCTGGAAGGGGCTGAGGTGGCTGGGGGCGGGTGACTGGATGTCATCTCTGCTGAGGAGTGACCCCCCGGAGGGGTTTCCAGCCTGGACACCTCCCCGCTGCTCCCCTAGCCTCAGATCCCCTGGGCTTCGATGCCTCCTGCTGGACACCTTCCAGGCCCTCTGAGCCCCACCTGCCCCGGGCCTTCCCTGGGGGGCTCACCACTAAGCCCCTCTCTACCACAGGCTCCAGCAACGCAGGTCTTCCTCTTGGCAGCCCTCAGTCAGCCTCCTTCTCCACAGTCCCCTTTTCCTGCAGGCCCCAAGGCCTCTCCAAACCTTCCTTACCCCACCCAGGCCACAGTCAGGCTTCAGGCAGATGACTCTGCCAGCTCTGGGCATATCACATCCTTGCCCGGGCCTCACCTTCAGTCCAGGTCCCCTCCCCTCCCTGCACCAACCTTCCCCACCCCACCCAGCCTCACACCAGCTTCTGGCTCCTTTGACGCAGCACAGGGTCCTGTTAACACCCACAGCCCAGCTGCCCCGCCCGCTCCCAGGGCTGAGCCTCCCCCCACAGCCAGGGCTTTCTCACCAGACCCGCTCCTGTCAAGCCCCTCCCCAGACTGCAGGAAGCGCTGGAGACACATGGGGAACCCCCTTCCAGAAACTCCCCTCTTCAGCCAGAAGCAGCCCCTCACTTGGCCAAGCCTGCAGCCACCCATGAGAAGTGACCCCCGGCCCAGGGCTCAAGACTTAAAACAACAGAAACCGGGGCCTGTGGAAGGAACTCGGTGCAGAAACAGCCAGGCAAACACAGATGTGGGACGTGGCCGGAAGACGCCCCAAACACATGGATTTTGGGGAAAGTGTCTAATAATGTGTACTCACTTTAAAATAAAGATGTTTCCAAAGCTCACGTCTGACGCCCTCTGTGGCAACAGCCTGGCCAAGCTGTGCTGAGTGGCAGTGGCAGCAGCCAGGGCTCTGGGCACACCCTCTTGCCAGCTCACCCGCGTTTCCCATTGGCAGCCACAGGCACCCACAGCAAACTGGCTGGATGTGCTGGGCACAGAGGGCCAGGGCCTGCTTAGGCTGTGGTCTCTGGGTCAGCATGCAAGAGTGCAAATCCCGGCTGTCACACACGCTCACAGAGGACACCTCCCCACAGACATGCAGCACACACACGCACAGAACACACACACACAGATGTGTGTACCTACAGACACGCACATGTACACTTACACATGCACACACACACTGCACACCCTGTACCACAGCCTGGGCCACCACAGGAGCGATAGCCACAGCAGGAAGTCCTGCCTGGGTCCACGTTCCTGCATCATTTAACGCCTGTTCGCTGGGAACCAGCTCTGTGCCAGGCTTGCACTGGGCACAAGGACGCTGTGAGGAGCAAAGGCAGGGCCCTGGAAAGCGTAGTCCATGGGACAGCACGTGGGTGGCAGCTCTGCCCGGAACACGACTCCCCCACCAGTCTGCCCGCTGCGGTTCAAGCTACCGTCCCTCTTGCCCAGTGAAAGCCCAGGCCTCGGGGCCGCCACTCTGTCTGTCTCCCCTCCACGCCCCATCCCCCTAGCCCCAGCACAACACAGGCAGGTGTCTGCTGACCGCTCAGTTCCCAGCACCACCTTCTTTACACAGGACTGGACCCTGGACACCTTGCTGGCCCCCCTGCAGTGGACACCAAGGGGGGGCAGGGTCTCTGCTTGGCACCCTGCCCAGTGGAAAGATGTGGTGCTGAAAGCAAGGACTGCGGAGGGGGAGCTGGGACAGGGTGTGGAGGTTCCAGGGCAGGAAGGTGGGTGGGAGCCAGGTCCGGAGAGCCAGGGCAGGTGTGGGGAGAGGTTGGGTCTGGTGGAGGCCTGCAGTCCTGTCTGTGCTTGAGGTGGTGGTGGCACTGGATGGAGGGAAGGGGACCCTGGCAGAGACCCAGGTGGAAGGGACGGAGGGTGACAGGTTTGGTTCAGCCACCGAGCTTGGGATGCCTCTGAGAGGCCCCAGTGCAGCAGGAGCCATATCCAGTAGGAGGCTGGAAGCTGAGGACAGGGCAGGCTCCAGGCAGTGGGTGGACGTCTGAGCAGAAGTGGACAGAGCCTCGCAGAAGCAGCAGCATTCAGAAAGGGCCGCTGAGGCCCCTGAGTATGAGCTGAGAGGGCGGGGGTCCTGACGCAGGTGCCAAGGAAGTCGCTGCAGGGAGGGGCGGCAGGTGCAAACATCCTGAGGTGGGGGGCAACAGAGGGGCCAAGGGGCCGGACATGGGGCTATAGGGTGGGGGTGAGAAGCCTCTAGCGCAGCTGCACAGGGAGTGAGGGGTAACAGGGCCGGCAGGGGGCAGAGGTGGGCAGGTTGGAGGCCGCTGCAGGGACACCGGGAGGCAGACAGCCTTCCCACACTCGCCACACCTGCAAGGCCTCCCTAAGCCTCAGTTTCCCCATGGAGATATCTTACAATGGCCACACCACCCATAACAGCAAGGGCCACCCACCTCATGCCCCACCCAGGCCAGGGGCGGCCACGGAGGAGAGCTGGGAAGCCCCCAACGCTCCCGACCTGTTCAGGGCTCCACTGAGAGGTGCAGAAACTTGGAATCGGACCCCAAACTCACCCTGAGCACCCTGCCCCAGCACCTTTCCTCCACCCCAGGGAGAAGCAGGCAGAGCAGGCGTGGTGCAGGGGGTGGGCAGGAAGAGCACCCACACCAGTCCCCTGCCTGCAGGCTGGCTCTGGCTTCTTCCAGAGGCTCCAAAGTGCCGCCGCCTCTGAAAAGCCCTCCTGGCCACCCTAGGTAGAGCAGCGCAGCTATCACTGATGCCACCCCTGCAGGTGGACCATGGCAGCAACCCGCCAAATACAGCAGTGGCCCCTATGAGGCAGTGGGGTATGTGGGGCATGGCCTACAGCCTGCCGCCTGTCTTTGGATGGCCTGAGAACTAAGAATTACCTTTACACTTTTAAATGATTGAAAATCGGCCGGGCGCGGTGGCGCTCTCACCTGTAATCCCAGCACTTTGGGAGGCTGAGACAGGCGGATCACAAGGTCAGGAGATCAAGACCATCCTGGCTAACCCAGTGAAACCCCGTCTCTACTAAAAAATACAAAAAACTAGCCAGGCGAGGTGGCGGGCGCCTGTAGTCCCAGCTACTCGGGAGGCTGAGGCAGGAGAATGGCATGAACCTGGGAGGCGGAGTTTGCCGTGAGCTGAGATCCGGCCACTCCAACCTGGGCAACAGAGCGAGACTCCGTCTCAAAAAAATAAAAAAAGAAAGAAAATCATCAAAAGGCTATTTCATGACACATGAAAATTATGGGAAATTGATACTTCAACATCTGTAAATGAAGTGTAGGTGCTGCCACACCCACCTTGGCCACCCACGCTCACTCCCTGGCTGCCCCTCACCACGGCCACAGGGCTGGGCTGCAGTGGATACTTCGTGGCCCGCAAAACCTAAAATCTTTACCAGGCCCTTTGTAGAAAACATTTGCCGACTCCTGCCCCCAGCCACGGATTCTCTCCAGCTATCAGAGGCATGAAGAAAAGAGAAAAAGGGGAGAGAATGTTCCAGATTAAGAAACTTCAGAGCCGGAACAACCAACCATAAGGTGAGAGACCTGCTGGGTCCAGATTCAAGAGGATCAGAGGATGCCTGGGGAGAAGCTGGGATGTCTGGACTGAGTCCATTCCAGCTGCTGTAACAAAATTCCTGAGTAATGTGGAAATGACAGAAATGTATCGCTCACAGTTCTGGAGGCTGGAAGCCTGAGATGTAGGTGCCGGCCGATTTGGTGTCTGCAGAGGGCCCTGTCTCTGCTTCAAGGATGGTATCTTGAATGCTGCATCCTCACTGAGCAGAAGGGGTGAGCCAGCTTCCTCCGGCCTCTTTTTAAGGTCCCTGATCCCATTCCCAAGGGCAAAGCCTCATGCCCTGGACACCTCCCCAAGGCCCCATCTCTTGAAGCTACCACGCTGGAAATGAAGCTTCAACCTCTGAACTGCAGGGGACACAAACATTCCCACCACAGCAGGACACATGGAGCAATATCGGGTGGGACTGCCTTGGGTAGAGGCAAACACTGTCTGCCCCAGCGAATGTGCACATGGCCAGGACCCCTCACCACAGCCTGGGGACTGCCCACCTCGTCAGAGCCTGGCACAGCGAATGTGCACATGGCCAGGACCTCGCTCGCACCAGCAGCCGTGGGGACTGCCCACGGTCAGAGCCTGGCACAGCGAATGTGCACATGGCCAGGACCCCTCACCACAGCCTGGGGACTGCCCACCTCGTCAGAGCCTGGCACAGCCCGGGCCTGTGCGGCAGCAGCACATTGCATCCAGGAGGCAATGTCCGAGTGGGCAGGGCAGCTCCCTGCACCTGCAGGCCCCTCGGCTAGACTGGACAGTGCCATCCACCTGGCTCACTGGCCCACATGCCACGCTGGGGGGTGAGCCAGGATAGGGAGTCCAACTTGTTCACAGAGGAAGGACATCAGGCCAGGATGGGCCTATGGGTTAGCTCACCACCCCGCTCTTTGTTCTCAAACAGCCAGATCGTAAGCCCCATGAAGCCAAACTCAGACCTCAAACCAGGGTCACAGAAACTTCTGATAGTCAGTGCTGGTGCTCGGCAGGCTCTCATGCTCTGAGAAGAGCTCCCTCATGCCTGGGGACCACCAAAAGGCACGAGCCTTCACCAGGGTGCCGCTGGGACCAAGATGTTGGGACCCCCGCTCAGGCAGCACTCACAGCGTAGGTGGGGTCCCCAGACAACAAGAGTATGGACAGACCGGCTTTCCAGGACGTTCCAAAGCCAGGCCTCAGCTCCCTCCCTGCACAAGGATGCCAAGTCACGCTTCCAGGGACCCCAACAACTTTGAGAAGCTGACAAAAGCCTAAGCCCCCTCCTGCCAGAGATAGGGATACGTATGGGGCAGGGACCCGAGCCTGTGAGCACACACATACCCCTGCACGCGCCCAGGGGAGCCCCAGAGCCCTCGGTGCATCTGGGACCCAAGTTAAGAGGCCAGGCCTGGGCTGCATGGCAGCCTCCTCACCAGGGTGGCCTGCAGCAAGTGGGGTGGGCACCTTCCTGGCCCCCAGAGGGACTGGACTGCCCACCCCCTACCCTCCTGGCCCCAAGCGCCCCCTGCGAACCTGTAGCATGAGCTCACATTCCTCACGCCCCACGAAGATGAGCTCGCGAGGGAGCCGGTGGCGGGCGCCGCTGCTGCTCACCAGGAACCAGGACGTGGCACTCATCTTGGTGCTGGCTGGGCCCGTCTGGCCCTGGGGAAAAAGGGATTGTTAGAGTGGGGCTCCCTGGCCTGGGCCTTAGCCCCCTGGACACATCCAAGGCCCAGCCCAGATCCTGTCCCTCTAAGGGAAGCTGGCAGTTTCTGGAGAAGCTGGACTCCAGCCTCACCAGGCCACCCGCCCTCCCCGGGAATGGTCCCGAGTCCCACTGCCAGGCCTTTGCCCTCCTGACCGGCCTTCCCCATCATGTCCATCCCCGGCAAAGGCTGCCTGGTCCTCCCTTATCCTCCAGGCCCCTGCACACCTAATCTCTTCTATCTTCCAGGTGTCAGGGGTTGAAGTTCATGGGGACACTGGCGGCACTGCCTGTAAGTGACCCCACATCCATGTGACCCACCAGGAGCAGCTCGTGGGTAGGACCCAGCATGGACACCAGGGTCTCCACGATGCCAGGTCCACACTGAACCAGAGGACCCACTCCCCTCAGCAGGACATTCTGAGACTGAGCCCCAAGCAGGGCCTGGGGTGAGCGGCAGCAGGGACAGAGCTGGAGACAGGGGCCCTGAGTCATCAATATGTCTACCACCGAGAGGAGGCCAAATGTCCCTTGGTGGCCATGGTGCAAGGACAGCATCAAGCAGCCCCTTCAGTGCCCAAGAGGGAAGAGAGGCTTTGGTGCCCATAGTCCCAGCAACATCAACAAAAAGGAGGTGGTCTGAGGGGCCGGTGTGGTCAGGGGCTGGTGTAGGCAGGCAGGGAGCTCTGTGGCAGCCTAGTGGGTAACAGGGGACAGCCTGAGTAATGGCCAGGGCTGATGACCCTGGGCAGCCCTATACCCAGCCAACGTGCACCCTGCACACCCGGAGCATGCGAGCACACATGCCCTGGGCACTCCACCCCACTGCCCAGCACATCCTGAGTGCTGCTATGGGCTAGGCGGCCTGGGCTGAGCCACCTGTGACCAAGACCCAGAGTCTCAGAGTCCTGGGGCTCCCTTCAGCAGGGGCCAGGCACAAAGAACAGAAATGGCTTATGAGAAAGTGCAAAGAGGGATACAGGGAACACAAAGGCAGGACACAGAGGGGGGCTCACTGGGAGGCAGCCTCCGGGGCTCCACAGGACAGGGGTGGAAGTAAGTGCATGAACACTTGCGGGACTGCATTCCAGGTAGAGGGAACAGCCGGTGCCACCAGGGCAGAGGGACAGGGCAGAGGGATGGAGGGCCTCACACGCCCCTGGGAGTCCTGTGGCTAGTCCTGCAAGCGGATGAAGTCCCTAAAGGGCCCAGCACTGACTCCATCACTGCAGGGTCCAGCACAAAAAGAAAATGTGGTGCCCTTGTTCAAAACCTGAGAAGGAGAGCTGAGCAAGATGCCAAGTGTGGGGTCCAAGCAAGGGCTCCATGGGGGTCTCCAGGTCACACACCTGAGAGGCCGGCCCCAGAGCTCCTGAGTGGGCATGGGACTCTGACTCAGGAGGCCAGTCAAGAAGTGAGGACAATAACCCAGGACAGGGATGACAGCAGCTGGGGCCCAGTGGAGCAGAGGAGAAGCAAAGGCTGCCGGGCTGAGTGCGTCCTGAGGGCAGGGCCACACCACGTGAGGGTGCCAGGCAGAGGAGTGAGTGGCTCCCTGACCCTACTTTGCTCAGTGCCCACACCCAAGGTCTTCAGCTTTGAGGCTCTTCACCAGATCTCAGCTCCCTTCAGTGAGCAGCAGGGAACACCAACACCCAGCTCCAGCTAGTGTGAATGCCCAAGTGACCACGTGCCCCATAGTAAACCCTCACCTTGGGCAGGGAGGTGGGAAGATGTAGAAAAATCCTCACCAGGAGAAGGCAGCTCCAGGCAGCCAGGACCCTCTCACCCTGGGGGCCCTGCCCTTCCTAAGCCAGGCACCCAGGCTCGGGCCAGACAGGCAGGCACTGGAGGCCAAGGGGGTGGGACTTCCATGCCCCTGCAGCCCCAGACAGCGAAGCCCCCAGGAGGCCTCTACAGCCCCACCCTCCCCAGGGCTGCTGGGGGACCACAGGGTGCTCTATTCAGCAGGGCCCACCCCACCACTGCAGCTCCGGCCCCCAGCCAGCCCTCCTAGGCCTCACACTCTGCCATCACCTGCCGCGGCCCGCCCTGAGGAGTCCACAGTCCCTGTTTAAGGCAAAGTAAAGCCGAGCCCCACAGCCTGGTGATGCCGCTGTACCAGAGCCAGGCCACCCACTGCCCCGGCCGCCCACCCTGAAAAGGCCTGGGAGCCCGCGACGCTCCAAAACGGCCTTCGGCTGCCTCGGGGCTGGGCTGGCCATCGTTGCTAGGAGGAAGAATAATAAACGCCCCAAACTTGCCCCCTCAGCCGCCCCGGCCAGAAGGGCCACAGTCAGAGGTGAGGCGGGGAAAGGTGGCTGGGCCCAGGGGCAGGGAAGGGCAGCGAGCCGGGCGGGGCAGTCCGGCGGTGGAAGGAGCGCACAGGCCGGGAGAGGCAGGGACAGCGGGGAGACGGCGGCGAAGGGAAATGAGGAGAGAGGGGAGGAGGAGGAAGACGGAGGGAGGGACCGCGGGAGGAGAGACCAGGCCAGGAGGGAGGCGGCCGGGCCCGGCGGGGGAGGGAGCGGCGCCTTCTGAATCAGCGCTCTCCGGGGGCGGCCATGGCCGAGCCGGTGCCGGGGCGGGGACCCGGGCGCCCAGGCTTGCCGGCTCCTCCGCAGGCCGCGTAGACACGTACCCGGCCGGGTCGCGTAGACGCGCGTGGGGCGGCTCCTCCCGGCCTGGCGCAGACCAGGGCCGCCTCCGCGGCAGCGGGGACCCGCCTGACCAGGTGCGCCGGGCGGCCCCCCACCCCCGCGCCTTTGTCCGGCCTCGGCCGGGATCCCGCGCCCCATGAGGCCCCACAGGCGTGCAGGTGCGGGTGATGGGAGGCCCGGGTCGCGGCCAGCGCTGGGCCGGCGCGTCCTACCTGCGGTTCGGGCTCGGTCTCCGGCTCGCCTCAGTCCCCGGCTTAGTCCCCGGCTTGGTCCCCGGCTCGGTCCCCGGCTCGGCCCGGCTCGGTCCCGGCCCGCCCGGCCGAGCGCTGGGCGGGGCCGCCGCCTAGGACATGCCCGGCGAGGCCCGCACGCTCGCGGCAGCCCTGGCCGAGCCCACGGCAGAGCGGCCGCCAGCGGCCTCGCGCGCGGGTCCCTGACGTCTGCGGGAGGCCCAGCCCCGCCCCCGGAACGCCCCGCCCCGGGCACGCCCCCGCCCGCCCCGACCCCGCCGCTCCGCTCCGCGCCGCGCCGCGCCCCGCCCCGCCCCGACTGAAACCAGGTTAGGGCGGGTCCGCAGTCGCCAGGTGAGCGCGTCCCGGCAGCCCCGCGCGTGGCCCGGTCGGCAGAGGCTCGGCGGGCCCCCACCCCGCCCCTGCCCCAGGCCCACCTTCCCCCACCGCCCAGGCCCCGCTGGCCTCCCCGGCTCGTCTCGCACCCGGCGCAGACCCCATTCCCTCCGGTCTCGGCCCCGCCCCCCGCTTCGCCTGCAGGTCAGGCCCCAGCTCGACTGGCGGAACCGGGTGCCCACAGCAGCCCGTGCGCCCTGGCCCAGGGCCAGTGGGTTAACGCTTAACTACGCTCCGGGAGCTGTAGGCTCCAGCCGCGCCCCGAGTCCCCAACCTTTGGCCCCGGTAGCCCCAAAGAGGAGCGGACGGTGAAGGAGTCAGGGTGAGTCCCAGAGGCCGCACCCGGATTTTCCCTCCCGAACCTGGCCAGACTGGGCGTGTGTCCGACAGCTCCACCTCCGACCCCGGGCGCTCTGGGCTGAGCTGGGGGCGAGGGTGGTGGACATCAACGCCGTCTTACCTGGACACCCACAGTGGACCTGACCGAGGGGTGGGGCTGGGGCTGGGAACTCCGGAGGCGCCCGGGGTTCCTGGGGTAAGTTCCCGCGGACTGCTTGCTCCTTGTCGGGCGCCACAATAGGCGTATCCGGTGTCCCAGGAGCCAAGTGGGGGGAAGGGATCAACGTGGGGGCGGGGCAGCGTGCCCGCAGGGCATTCCTGCCTTCCAGGTGTTGGGGAACGCTGTGAGCGAAGGCGTGGAGATGAGGGGGAATGTGGAAGGCGTGCGCCCGGCCGGGGAACCCCGGGCTTTGTCCTGTGGGCAGCTGGAGCGGCTGGGCATTCCCGGCTGCGACAGCCCCCACCCGGCCCCGCACCTGGGCCTGCTCGCAATCCAGCGGCGCCTCTCCGCATCTGCCTTCACGGATCTCAGCCCCAGCAGAGCCCTTGTGCCGGACCCTGGGGCGGGATTGTGAGTTGAGAGGGGGTTAGACGCGCCCTTGAGTATGGCAGGAGCCCCAGCCCAAGCACCTGGTGGAAACTCACTTGCCTGGGGAGAGGGCAGGGCAATGAGCACTCCGAGCTGGCTCCCAGGAAAGACCTTCCGGCGGGAGCTTGGATTGCTAGGTTGAGGAAGAGGCCGGGGGAGGGACCTACAGCCAGGTGA